TGAACACTATCCTAAGGCCTGGAAAATCTCATTGATTACCCTCATCCCTAAACCCGGTAAACCGATATACGAAACCAACTTCTATCGCCCAATCAGTCTTTTACCTGCCCTGTCTAAACTATTCGAGAAGATGCTCACGAATTGACTCCTTCTACTCCTAGAGGACTTGAAAACACTCCCAGATAACCAACTCGGCTTTCGAAAATAGCATTCAACAGTAGAGCAAATCCATCGCATAACCCACATGATCAGCCAAACCCTTGAAAAGAAAAAATATTGCTCAGCGGTATTCCTAGACATCCAACAGGCATTCGACAAAGTATGGCATGGGCTACTATAACTATATGGTCAATTGAGATATGTATAATTTTCTGTGCTGGACTGGGTTAAATGCGTAGTAGAGATACTTGTATGTGGTGATCGCCTGGGAACTCTGTGTGGCGTTGGCGATGCGCGCTGGGTCCGCCAAGCAGTCCGGTAGGGGAACCGGACTGCCTGGCACGGCGGCTCCGGCGACGAGGCGCGGTGTGACAATGGTAATTACTAAACAACATGTGGATGGCTAGTCCCAAACGAGATATACCATCTTCCAGTTTGTCTATTTTATTTTTTTAACGAGGTCAGTGGGATGTTTCCTTCTTAGTCTTCTTTTTATATGGGTTTTGCTCGTTTCAGCAGCTAGCTGGTTTCGATGTGTTGCCAATCTTTCCGTGTATCTTTTTGCGTATTTGCTGATTTCTTCTTTGACAGTTGGTATTTTTAGATCTTTGCGTATATCTTCGTTTCTGACATACCATGGGGCGTTAACTATTGTTCTGAGTATTTTTGATTGTAGCGACTCTAGTTTATTTATGTGTCTCATTGCTGCTGTCCCCCATAGTGGTATTCTGTACGTCCAACTTGGTTTTGTTATCGTTTTGTAAATTTTTAATTTGTTTTTTACACTGAGTTTAGAATTTCGGCTAGTTAACAAGTACATCTGTCTTCTTTTTATCCGTGTGCGATAAGTGAGACCGAAATGATCACTTAGGCGTAACGTGCGTGTTTTTTTTGCCCAATTCCATGGACAGTTTGCGACATTCCGATGGCGATTGGCATTATTCTGATAAGGGTTGCGAGCCCAAATCTTTGCACAGAGGTTCAATTTGGCAAAAGGGCCAGCAATTGGTTCGCTGCGATCATTCGAGCTGCTCCTTTAGCCTAGATTGACCCATTGCTTGGCGGAAACTATTGGCAATGGCGTAATAAAATCGAAATATCGAACCTTAACGTAACCTTGACGCAATCAGTGTTTTCGCATGTTCGCGGGGAGACGCGATCTCGAAGAAGCGCGCCAACGGGAGTCGTAAATTCCCGTTACGATTTGCTAATCGACGCCGCGAATCGCTCGATCCCTTATTTCATTTAGGATAATAAGGGTAGTTAAATGAAAGATAACGCTGTTGCTAACAGGTTATTATATATTTTCACAAACCAACAACTTCGGGGTCACACAAAATGAATATTTGTTATGAGATGACTACGAATGAGTGCGACCTGAGTCTCTAGACGGATTATCGCGTATACTGATGGATTTGTCGACTCACTGTATTCGAATTGCTGACCGCTTGACGAGATGCTTGATTGAGACTGTTGGTTGAGACGCTTGGTTGAGACTCTAGGTTGAGACTGTCGGGTGAGACTCTCGGGTGAGACTAATGAAGAACGCGGATTCGTTGCTCACACTTTTCGTTAAGGAGGTGAGGGTAAACAT